TGGACCTCTGCTTGGAAGAAAATATAGAGGCCGCACCTCTTGGAACTTTAATTGAATACCCCTGACTTATATCATAAATAAATACTTTATTTGTATGGTTTTGTAATATCTGTGTCACATATTTCCTTATGTGTCATGGTAGATCGGACTCTTATTGTAGAATTTGATTACAGAAATCTGTTTTGAACATGGTAATAGATTAAAACATAAGTAACAGGCTGGATGTACATTAACCTTACATCTTAACACCTCTTTTTTTCAAAGCATCATAGATCATATATTTTGTCTATAGCCTATAAAACAGATTCGTAAATAGGAAGATATGAATCCATAAGGATTCTGAATGGGATTTTTTTTAAGCAAGCCATTAAAGGACTTGAGACTCAACTCAGACTCATGACCAAAGACTTCAGACTCGACTCGGACTCCAAGTTAAAGACTTGTGAACATCTCTGGTATGTGGTGTTTAATCGTGTTTGAGAGCTTTGTCTTCTTGTTGTTTGTTCAGCGTTGCACACCTTCATAACTACATACACTGAAATAAATGGACAGACGATTGCAGGAATCCCAGAGATTTCTTCTGTAACTACACTGGATGGAAGACAGATTGATTATTATGACAGTGAGACAGGGAAGCTGATTCCCAGACAGGACTGGATGAAGGAGTTTGCATCTGGAGACAGATGGAAAGCATACACTGAGATCAAAGAACAAGTACAGCAGACCAACAAAATCAACATTCGTTTTCTAAAGGAACAATTCAATCAGTCACTTGGTGAGTTAAAATACTTTTACTACAGTTTTAAATGTGAAAAATTACATTATACAATGCAAAAAGAGCAGATCTTATGGTTCCCACTTGTTCTCTCTTCAGGTGTTCATACGTATCAGAGGATGTATGGATGTGATTGGGATGATCAGACTAAATACTTACATGGGTTTGATGAGCACGGTTACGATGGAGAGGATTTTATCTCACTAGATGTGGAGAACAGCAGATACAACACAGCTGTACCACAGGGATTGATCACAACGACCAGGTGGAACAATGACAGAGCCCAGCTTACCTATCTAAGACGATACTATAGAGATGAGTGCACTAACTGGATGCTATATTTCTTGATTTCAAAAAAAGTGGATTTAGAGAGAAGAGGTACATTCTTTTTGAGAACTTCACCTTGTTCATCAAGATCATTTTTTTAATTAGAATGAGTCATTAATGTCACTTTCATTTCTCATGCTTTGCTTCATTAAAACAAAAACTTAGCACCTTTTAAAAAGTTAATCATATGGATAAAAGTTAATAAACTAAAAGTATTAATACTTTTTTTTTTTTTACGTTTGTCTCAATCTTTTTTTTTTAGCTCCTGAGGTGTTTCTGTTACAGAAGGATCCCTCCTCTCTAGTGCTGTGTCATGCCACAGGTTTCTACCCAGCAGCAGTGACTATCACCTTATTAAGAAATGGACAGGTTCACGATGAGGATGTGGATCTTGGAAAAACACTGCCAAATGAAGATGGGACCTTCCAGAAGACTGCTATTCTCGATGTTCCTCCACATAACTGGAAGAAGCACCAGTATGTTTGTGTGGTGGAGCACAATGGAAAGACCATCCAGAAGATTCTGACTGAGGATGAGATCATTAGTAACACCAGTAAGTTGTTAATAGTGCGCTATAGTGTTTATGTGAAAATACTTGCTATAAAGTTTATCCTATCCTTGTAAATGATGACAGAAATTTCAATTTTGGCTGAACTGACCCTTTAAAATCACACTGGGCAAACTTATCAAATAGGTATTTGAAATCAAAATAGTTGACCTGAAAATGATCATTCTGTCATCATTTACTTGCCCTCATGTCGTTCCAAACCTGTGCGACACTCTTCTCCAGAACATAAGAGACAACATGCTGCAGATTATCTAGCGTGATCTTCTTTCATTCAATTAAAGTGACTAGGAAAAGTGTTAGAAACATTATGAAAATAGTTTGTATGACTTGTGGGCCATATTTCAAGTCTTCCGAAGTCATATGATAGCTTTGTTTGTTTATTAAAATGTAAGTTGTTATTCATTGCAGTGCACTAAGGCAACATTGGTAATTGTTATTTAGTTTACATTTATTAATCAAATACAGTGCCTTGCAAAAGTATTCATACCCCTTCGTTTTTTTTTCCCACATTTTGTTATGTTGCTGCCTTATGTAAAACTGCTTTAAATTACTTTTTTCCACATCAATCTACACTCCATACACCATAATGGTAAAGCAAAAAACAGGTTTTTAACATCTTTGTAAAGTTATTAAAAATAAAAAACTTAAATGATTCCATTGCATAAGTACTCATACCCTTATCTGGGACAGTTAAAACTTAGCTCAGGAGCATTCATATTGCTTGTAGATGTCACTACACTTCAAGTGAAGTTAACCTTTGGCAAATTCAATTGAATGGGTATGATTTGGAAAGGCACACATGTTTTAATTAAAGGTCTAACAGCTGATAATGCATATCAGAGCAAAAACCAAGCCCTGAGGTCAAAAGAACTGCCTGTAGAGCTCAGAAACAGGATTGCATCAAGCCACACATCTGTGGAAGAGTTCAGAAAAGCATTCTGCTTCATTGAAGTTTTATAGAAGCATGTAGTCTCTGTTACCCTTAATGGAAGTTTGAAACATCCAGGACTCTTCCTAGAGCTGGCCTCCTGGCCAAACTGAGCAACTGATGGAGAAGGGCTTTGGTTAGAGGTGAACAAGAACCTGATGGTCACTCTAGTTGAGCTCCATGATCATATATGCAGATGGGAGAAACCTAGAGAAGGACAAACATCGTTGCAACACTCCACCGATCTGGGCTTTATGTCGGTGTGGTCAGACTCTATCTTCTCCTCAGTGAAGACACATGAAAACACACTTGGAATTTACAAAAAAGCATCTAAAGGACCCTCAGACTGTGAGAAACAAGATTCTCTGGTCTGATGAACCTCAGTTCCAAGCATCATGTTTGAAGGAAACCAGGCACTGCTCATCACCTGCACAGTAGCATCCCAACAGCCAAAAGTAATGGTAGCAGCCTCATGCTGTGGGGCTGTTTTTCAGCGGCAGGGACTGAGGGACTCGTCAGTCGTCAGAAAAAGCTCAATGCACCAAAATATAGAGATAGCCTTGATGAAAACCCAGTCCAGAGCATCCAGAACCTCAGACTGGGCAGAAGGTTCACATTCCTACACGACAATGACCCTAA